GGCCTCGCAGGCCAGGCCACCAACGAGCGCTAAATAACTGTAAAAATATATGTGTGTTTGTATTATTTGGTTATACATATATATATTGGGAAAATCAAAAGGAGCGAATCAACAAAGGGCTGGGAGAAGGAGAGTGACAAATTAGGAAACATTACGAAATGAGCATCAATAAAACAGCTGAGGAGAAGAGGAATATTAATTATAGTAATATTAAAAAAACTTCTTATAGTTTCAATACATTTCATCATCACTATCTACTATCATATATCTAAATGTGAAATATAAGATTAAACAAGGCCTATTTATTTTATGGTAGCCCTAAAATCTGCCCAAGTTAATTTAATAATCATAAATAATATCAGTTGATATATAACTAGACGTACTGTAGTAACTAAGTTCGTTCTAATTTCATCATTTTCTTAATTATTAGCCCAACACTTAGACTTATCCATCTCATTACACATAGAGATCACAAACATTGAATGTTTGATTAACAAATAAACGAAAGAGAACACAGAACGATTTGGGTCTGATAGATATATATATATATATTGTATATATGGAGGAGAGAAATATAGTTCTCGTATGCGGGACATTCAACAATCGATAGCTGATGGCTGATGGCTGATTGCTTGCCTGGTCCAGTTTGAGGGTCAGTCTATCGGGCCAATCTTGTGGCGGTGGGTACTCGGGCAGAAATACATAGTCTGCCTCGGATATAACGCCAGCGACAACTGGTAAATAACTATAAGTAGTGAAGGCATTTAGCATTTCGAATTTGACACTTGGCAGAGCTAACACTTTATACGTAACTAGTTACACATCATAGATAAAATAACTAAGACCACTTAGATTCATCAATAACAAGTGGCTTACCCGCAATGACGGCCCATGACCTCCATGATGAAGGTGCGCTGATGCGAGTAGGCAGTGCTAGCAATGGCATCGATGGCCTCAATGATGCGATGCAACGCCGTATCCGTGCCAATGGTCATGTCCGTGCCGCAGAAATCGTTATCAATCGAACCCACCTGGAAAGTTCAATAGATAGTGATTAAAAGTGAAAGCGAGAGAAAGCGAGAGAGAGAGAGAGAAGAAGACTTACCAATCCAACAATATGCAGAACGTTGTACTTGCTCTTCTGCTCCGGGGTAATGCTCTTATTTTTCTCCAGCTCATCCAGCAAACTGGACCACTCCTGACGGAACAGATTGGCGCCAGTCAGCGAGCCATCGCCGCCAATGACCACCAGATTGGTAATGCCACGTTGCACCAAGTTATTGGCAGCCTTTAGGCGGCCAGCACGCTCACGGAAGTCCTTGCATCGAGCGGAGCCAATGATGGTACCGCCACGATGTATGATCGATGACACCGACGACCAAGACGCTTCCTGAATGCAATCGCCGCCATCCACCATGCCCTGATAGCCTTCACGAATGAAGTACACCTAAAGTCACAAATTATTGAAAAAATGTATTAAATTGTATTTCAATAAATTTATTATGAAGCAAATATGAATCATTTATATGAAGAGCTCTCAGAAAAACTGTTTCAAAATATTGATTAATTTTTTATTTATATATATATATGTTATTTATTTACAATTTAATTTATTAATGCTAAATAAATGCTCAGTAATACTTCCGTTCAAATACTCATAAAATTATTATATGATTCTATTTCTATTAATACAATATTGCATATAGCTTAGTACTTATCAGGCTTTATAGGCGATAGAATGAGCTAAACAAGATTCTTAATCGTCATATAAACCCAACATAAAAATATATATACTAAGTAAATTTGAAAAAAAAAAAAAAAACAAAGAAGAAAATTCAATTAATGCTTGCATAAAATAATCAATTTTAATCGCTGATTGAATTTGATTTTATATAATAAACCTATATACATACATATATGCATAATGTTACCCAGAATAATTTAGCATACAAATCAAAAGTGAATAAAAGAAAATGAAAGTGACTTTGAGAAAAAAAAAGTGAAATAGAAACATCAGCCTTGCGACAATTTATTCATTGCAAAAATCATCATCATCAACAGCGTACAATTTTGAATAATTTGTTTCAATTGCAATTATTTAAAATTTCAACTCTTTGCCCTCTCCCAGAGTGTGATAAAAATTTGGCATATCGGACGCTCAAGCACCCAATTCACTTGCTCGAGTCGATCAATAAAACCAATAATAGGCAAATAGTAATTCACTTTTCAAACAATAACCGCATTTTCTCAGATATATCTGCGTGATCGTCTGTAAGTTGCCCGAAAATAAACTCAATGTCAAACGCACACGGACACAAGAGTCGCCTGTGTGTAGTGGTATTTTCAATGTATTGGTGTTCTCTATGAACGTAGTGTGAGGCGCTTTTATTTGAATATTTTTTTCTTTTTTTTTTTCTTTTTTTTTTTTTTCTTGCTACCCCCTGGGTTATCTAACGGCAATTCACACCGCCAGTAGAACAAGCTAATTTGTTTTATTTCTTTTCCTTCATTATGATTTAATTGCAAGTTCAGCTGATATATATAAATTAGCTATATATAAATACATATATGCATAACAGAGTCTGCTGTAGACCATAAAGTTCAATGGCTGAACTTGTTCCGGTAACCGATAAGAACATTTTTGTGAATAATATGTATGTGTGTGTGTGTGTATATATGAGTGTCAGTGTGTATTTCCAAATTATATACATATACCAATTCAAAAGCACTTGGCAGAGGTCAAAACTCACCTTGCATCCCAAGTAGATGGCCATACGCACACATGCCCTCACAGCAGCATTCATGCCCTGGGAGTCGCCACCGCTGGTGAAGACGGCCAGGCCCTTGTCGCGCTGGGAGCCGCGTGCCAGGAAACGTTGATTAGTATCACTATTCATTTTTTGGCCAAGCACCTCTTTCGATTTAAAAGTTATTCAAATACAAGTTAATCGATTCAAAAAACAACGGTAATGCACACACACACACGCACGCACGCAGAGGGAGAGAGTGAGGTGAGGTGAGATTGAGATAGAGAGACGGACGCACGTATCGAAGTTCAAGTTGGATGCACCCAACGGCAAATATTTTGTGAATAGCGCGACTGGAGGAGCTTCGAGGAAGCCGAGTTGTCCAAATGAACTGCGCAAATCTTATGCTGGCCACAGATGCCGTGGCTATGTGCCTGCGAGACGATTTTCACAAACTGGGCGCGAGAGCGGCGGTCGAGCGCAGAAGTTTCGGTTTTGACGTTTCAAGGTGACCTTTAAACGCAGCAAACGCTTTGCGTTAAGCGCAACTACACGGCACACTGATGCAATGAACTGGTTGGCTGGCGTTTTTATCGCGTCGCACCGTCTCGTTTTATGCGTAATGGCACTATGCGCGATTTTTAGTAATATGTTTCATTAATGCAACGAATTATAACAGTAATGCGGCCAAGTTTATGCTATCAATTTGTCCGTATGTGGGTGAAAATGGGCGATTAGTCTATTGGACTTTTTTTGTTTACCACACACACACACACGCACACACAGTGAGTGTCATATAGACAGCTGTGCAACAGCTGTGCGCCCATCGCCAGACAAAAGCTCTTTTACGCCAGCCAGCTTCTGCATGGCACATGAGAAGCTTTTCAACACATGTACATGCATGTAGCCGTTAATAATTTGAACATTAACCGATTACATTTAATTGGGATTGTGTTACTCACATATTTGTTCTTAAATTTAGTATAGTTGGTAACCCGTACGCCTTCTGGCTGGCCATAAGATGCTTCGTCAAACATTATCAACTCATTGTCATCATAACCCATAAAATTTACACTGCTTATCATTGGGGCTAATTGGTTGCTTAAAAGGATTAGTTCATTTAAACTCTGTGGGTGACATTTGAGAGCATTCAGTTGCGGCACATTTGCAGCCCAGTACGCTTTATCGAATTGCTGCTTCTTCCAGACATAATATTCTAGCTTAGGACTTGAAATGGTTTACCTACACATATTTTTGCTGTAATCTCTGCAATCTCACTTACTTATAAAGAAACATGGAGTCCATTTTTGCATTAATTTCCATTGTCAAAGTATTTAATCTTTCTGAGCAGCCATGCCACTGATTGTTTTTATGCTGCAAAGATAATATTATAATATATTCAAAATTCGATATATATTTAACTCACTTCACTGGCTTGAGCGCTTTCCAATTGCGAATCCGATTGAGACGGCTCGGACACCTGCTGTTTACTGGGACAGTGTTGGGTCGTGGGCAATAGCTCCTGTGTTTCGACTAGGCTATGGGCGATGGCTTTCGATCAGTTTTGGGTATTACGCAGTAGTTTGTACATACCGGGCTGATAATTTAGAAAATACTCGAAATTTTAATGCATGCATATCAATTACTAAAGGGACAAATCACTACAAATCACAATTATCTATAAAATACATACTCAATTTTGACTACGTTTGATATAAATTGCTATTTAAATAATATGTCAAGCATCTGATCAATTAAAGACTGGCATACTCTGTTTAAACAAATATTTTAATTTAAAATTAAGAATTAACTGTTAGCTGTTGGGCAAATCGCTAGAGATGGAATTTTGGTTCCAGTTTCCTAATATGAATAGTAAATAAGAATATAGAACATAGAGTTTTTTTTAGGAATAGTTCGAACAATATATGTATGTATATAAAAAAAGCTCAGAGGTCTCTACCAGTCGAGCAGTGCCGCTAAGAGTCGATAAGATCAATTAACTTGAATAAATAAAAAAAAAAATTACAAATTAAAATAGTTTCAGTGACCAACAAAGTAAATCCCCCCACTCCAGTAGTCCAATAGGTAATCCAGATGCAATAATTCGATGATATCCGATGATTGCTAGTTAATTACACATACTATATGTATACTTATCATATATTTAGCTATCACATCGTATTGTGTGTCTACATAGGAGGCACGAATTAGATGGCATGAAAATCGAAAGAAAGGCCCAATGCTAAACTTACATTGAATTTGTAATTGTAATTGTTATGAATTATTCAGTTGGCATTCTTTTCACCAATTGGCTTCACCTATATCTTTTCAGGTAAATTACATATTTTCGCTTCGTTGTTTTCATTATATTTTTCTTCGAACGACGTGGCAGTTTCACAGGTACAGACTTCTCATGCTTATCCTTCTCCTTGAGCCTTTCCTTCTGCCCTTCCTGCTGTCTATCCTTTTTCTGCTCCTTTTGTTTCTTCTTCAAGGCAAAGCCAACGCGTGTTTCAGCTTTCTTCTTGTTCTCGGCATCTATATATTGTCTTATATGGTTCACAGTACGATCGAAATCCAAACTTCGAGTTACGTGCACAAGTCGTTGCATATTCGGACTTTAGCCATAAGAAATTATTATGACATAAGCGTCTAATTATTGATCACATTGATTACCTTTTGGTAACACTCAATCCCAGATTACTGATATCATCGAGTGCGCTGTCCACAGCATTCACCACAGTCAACACCTCGGCTGTATTATCGCAGAGGTAGCGATAATACAAATTGATATTCTCCTTCTTCAAGTCCATGAGGTAGTCGTACTTCCTGGCAACATCCGCACAGCTGGTCATTCTGTTCTTGAAGGCCAGCAATTTTTCGTTATCGCTGCGCCGACTGAAAAGGATGCAACGATAGTCCTGTGAATGACCGTTCCGCAGCTGCATGGAGACGGCTATTCTCCCAACACAAGCATTGCCTCGGCCAGAATAACAGGATGCGGGCAGAATTTTTAGGAAGTGAAAAGCATTGTCAATGTTGCTGTTAAAGATATTTGGCATATAGATTTGTATAGGTCAACAGGACCAACTCTTCGGCACATACCGAGTTATGCACTTCGTCAAAACTTGAAATTTACAGTTATGCATTCCTAAAAAAAAATTCTACGTAATTTTGAGAAAGGTCCGAAAAGGAATGGCATACTTTGTTCGTTTTCATATTCATTTCATTATATTGAAGTTATGCGTGGATATATAGATTGTGTATATAAATCAGCCTATAAAACTCATTTAATGCAGTTTATGTATAAATAAGAAAGTTTATCTGTGCTAAGAATGAATCCAATTGGAGCACAAATTTACCATTTTATTCGTAAAGTAAATCCAAACGAACTCTCAAACTTTATTATAAAGTCTATGCTTCTTACTCATAATCCATTGCTGAAATAAGAATAGAATATAATGAACACAGCACAATTTTTGTTTTGTATTTTTATTTTTTTGTTTTTTTTTTTTTTTGGTAATTAAGAAACTGTAATTTCAATAAACTTAAATTTTCACATCAATCTTTGCCTCCACACACACATACAATTTATGTGTGCTCCATGTTGTGTTGTTGTTGTTCTTCAACACATTTTAAATGTTTTCTTTTGTTTTTTTATTTTTTTTTTTTATGTCAGTGTATTATGTATTTGCAGTTTCCATTTGGGTTATTCGACTCGGTTTTTTATTTTGTATATTGTAAGCGTAAATTCAATTGCGAAAATATACAATTATACAGTTTTTATACACATTTGCATAGATCATTTTGAAATTCCTGGTTTGGCGTTTGCTCTTGTTGTTGTTGCCAACTCGAATTAAATTGGATCTACTTAGCTGTCAATATATGTATGTAAGTAATTTCTGTTGCATTTGTATTTTATATTTTGATTAGTTATCAATTTCCTGTTATTTTGCAATAAAATGCCCTGATAAATCAAACTTAATATCAACAATAAAGCAGAATGTTAAACTAGTTGAGTTTAGCAACAATTGGCATCATTCGAAAAATAAAATTAGCATTTTCTCTTTTTACTTTTTTATATAATTGCTTCACACACCTGTTTATTTTTTTTTTTTTTAATTTTCTTCATTTTGTTTTTTGGGCTTGGGGTTTTACATTTAAACATATAGATGATAATAAAAATATAAAAAGTAAACACTGAGACATTTAGTTATAACAATTGCACATTGATACTGTTATTGCTGTTGCATTTGCATAATTGCATATAGTAAGTATATATGTATATGTAAGTACGTTATAAATAGTTATCGCATCGATCATACGATTAATTTAGATACTAGTTCCAGGATGGCAACATCACTGGTTCATTTATTCTTTGAATCCGATTAACCGATCGATTACATACAAGGAGAAAGAAAAAACAAAGATTTCTTCAAATGGGCACAATAGAACTCATGCCCTTTAAGCTATCCGCGCAATGGAACAAGTTGCTTGCATTGATTCAGAGTGAATATCATCTATATTAATAAATATAGGGCTTGTGTATGTTAACCACACCTAGCTCGACTGCAAAACTATATAACCATTTATTTAATTTACAACAATTTAACACTCTTCTCTTCTTTTTGATCGATAACGACATTGTAAATACAGCACTGTGTGTGTGTGGGAGACAGAGAAGGTAAATGAGGAAAAAGAGAACATAAATTGGTTGAAAATAAAAGTTTAGGTTTATGTTGTTTTTATTTGTTGTATTTTAGAAAAAAAGATAATTACAAATAATACATAATTTGTTTCTTTTGGTTCGTATAGGCTTCTTCTTTGACGACGAAAAATAGGTGGCATTATTTGTAATTACATTATTTATATTGTATAAACCAATTAGCCTTTGTTTATTATTGTTGTTTTTTATTAAGGAAAGCGGCGCAGCGCATTAAACAAAAATAAAAGACATTAATTTTCTTGTTGACTGTGTCTTGTGTTCTGTTTCTTGGTTGTTTGCTGTTTGTATGTTAATGTAAAACAGTATGATAATTATTTATTAAAACATAATCAAAATAAATAATAATATTTTAGGCATATGTATAGTGTACGCAGTTGGCCAAAACAGCGGAATAGTAATTAACTACACAAAACAAAATTCACATCTTTGCCATACAATACACTCTTCCTGTTCCTGTTCTTATTCTTGTTCTGGATAGCTGATAGATGTTTTTTTCCTTCATTTTTATATATTTATTTATATATATTTATATTTTGTATTTATAAGTTTTGACTCAGATAGTTCCATTTGTGAATATTTGCAAGAGCATTTTACTAACAAAGACAACTTGAACGGCATGTGAAGCAAATTAAGACATTTGATTTCATATTACATTTCCTTCTTCATAGACTTTTTAATCGACTTTACATTTATTGATTTGACGCGGCGAACGACAGTTGTTCGTCTGTATACAATATATAAACTGTCTATAAACCAGATTCATTTTTTCTTCTTGCCTCAAACAGTTGCATGACAATAGTCTTCTCACCTAAACTCATCTCAGCCTCTAAACTATCATCACACAGCCACGACCTGAATCATTATTCTGCTGAATTGTTAATGTTGTTGTGTTTTGTTGTTTTGTATAATATTGTTGTGTATTGTTTGTTTGTTTGTTTAGATTTGTGTCGATGCTGATGCTGATTTTGATGTTGCTTTTATTATTACATTACTGCTCTGCTGCTTTCGACTTCAAAGATTTCTTTTTATATTTCTTTTGTTTTGTTTGTTTTTGTTTGTATTACTGAATAATATTTGCATAGTCAAAAAGGAAACATTTTAGTTGTTTGGTTAGTTGTCACCGCCCTCCTGTGGCTCGTCGCCATCACCCTGGGTATCGGAGGTCCAAAGAGTCAGGTTATCCCTCAACAATTGCATGATGAGTGTTGAGTCTTTGTATGAGTCCTCGTTGAGTGTGTCCAGCTCGGCTATCGCGTCATCGAACGCCTATATTGTGATGTAATAAGAATATATATATAGTAAGTATTCGATCAAATATAATTGCAACAATAACAATGCAAAAGGCCGGCAAGGTAAATATGCAAGTACAAGTTCTTGTTCAGGTGCAAAACGAAAGCATTTCAGTTCCATAAAGAATATGTTTTAGTATTTGGATTTATACCTTTGTTTTTGTTTCATTCAGCAACTAAGCAAAATAAACAAAAATCATAAATTCATCTAGCAAAAAAAAGAACTATTAAACTAATATACGATATTGAACTCTGTGACCTAACGGTTAATGCACTTTCTCTAAGAATCATTAATAATTTCACCAGCAAGATACGGACTGCATTATAAAGGGTTAAAAGCCATACATGTAACGGGGTACATAAGCCAGGCTTTCATCAATGAATTAATTAAGCCAATTTGGAATTTATGTAACATGCGATGACCGTAGGCGTATGCTTATATCGTACGTTCCACGGACTTGTGTAGGCGTATGGACTGTATGTGTGTCTGTCTGTATCTGTATTTGTATTTGTATTAGTTAGTTAGTTAGCCACATAACAATATTTAAATAATTAATATGAAACAAAGAAAACAAGATTTGTGTAGAAAGAGATTGAACCTGTTTAGCTAAATGACAAGCCCTCGCTGGTGAATTAATAATTTCGTAATAGAAGACGGAAAAGTTGAGTGCAAGACCTAATCTGATTGGATGTGTTGGCTGCATTTTAGTTTTTGCAATATCGAATGCCTCTTGATAAGCTTTTTTCGAGTCCTCAACGACGTCTTAAATTATGTACGTTAATATGGGGTACCAAAATAAATGAAACAAAAAGAAAAAAAGAACCAAAGTTCACAATTAGTTTTCAATATGATATAGATACTGAATAATGAACATCAACTTAAATGTAGAACTAAAAACTAAAGTTTTTTTTTATGATTTGAAATGGATTTCGTTGCACTTGTTGCTTGTTGCTCGCTTGCCAGACATTTTGTTGTTTACTGCCTTTTTTTTCAAATTTGTTTTTATTAACCTGTTTAGCCAATTGGCAAGCCTTATCTGGAGAATTCAAAATCTCATAATAGAAGACTGAGAAGTTAAGTGCAAGACCCAAGCGGATGGGATGTGTTGGCTGCATTTTGCCCTTGCTAATGTCAAATGCATCCTGGTAAGCGGTTTGGGAATCGTCAACAACGGCTGCATCATCACACAAAGAGATAGAGTTTACATTTACGTTCTTTTTTACATTTTTGTTTTATAATTTAAATAGATCTATATTCAAAGAGCTTATAGCTTATGGAATTTAGATACTTACTGTTGCGTGCGTCTCCTGTGGCGACCTCAGCTAAATACCTGTAATAATCTCCCTTCATCTTCAAGTAGAAAACCTTGCTCTCTGGATTGCTGGCTTTTGGAATAAGGTATTTGTCCAGAAGTCCCTGTTGATTAAACACAGAACAAGATGTCAAAATGTAAATAAGAGATCAAAACAGAGACTTGTGTTTATAAATAAACATTCCTAATTGCTACGCGCACACAATAAGCCGTTATTAAACCAATATTATGCGAGCAAAAGCTGCTCGGCTAATATACTATTACGCTGCCCAACTTGAAATAGCTACACGCGTATACATATATGTATATATGTATATGTATGTATGTCTCTGCTGTAGATGTATATATATGCCAATTTTACAGCCGACTGAGGCACTTCAAAGTATTATCGATTTTCTGTCACCAAAGAAAGAAAAGCTAACAGCCAGTCGCCTCAGCCGCCCAGCCCCGCAGTCCCAACCCCCAGCGAGAACTGTTTTTCTATATAACATATACACTGGCTACATATGTAGGTTGTAGCTTTTAATTTATTTTTAAGCCCAGTGGGTCTGCTGACTAAAGGTAGTTTACTTAATAGGTCAACAGTGTGTCAAATGAGCACTGCTTTAAGATATATGGCTGGCTGTGCAGTTCAATAGAAAACTCTAATTAAATTGACATTAATCAAGACAAGCTGGGCCATGGTTGGTTACTGTTGCTATCTAATCTGTATGTTTATATATAAATATATAAATATATAAATATATATGTATGTACGTTGCATGACTGTCTGTGTAAGAGAGTGGGTTGCTGTGTGCAGCAGCAGCAACATGTCTGGAAAATTTCTTTTTTAAAAATAGATTTATTGATTGTAATACAATTTGCTGCACACCCACACCCACGCCCACATACACATACACAAACATAGAAGCCTGTACTGTGAGCCCTCCGTTAAGGCGATTGTAATTTCAAACTAACGCAGCAATTGGTTTATATAGATGCATGTTAGAGTTATATTTTTACATAAAAATAAGAAGAAAGCTCGGATGCCCAGCCACTCTGACATACACCTACCACCGCCCCACTCGCATTTGGGAGCAGGACTTGCGCAGTGAACAAGGAGAACTCATCATAATTTGCTTACTCTATGGTGGGTTTTGGGAGGGGGCGGATTGCGGGACTCTGACAATATTCATGGTCATGGGCAGATGATGGGAGAGTACAGTGGAATGGAGTAGAGCTGAGCAGCTGTACATACCAGAACTTCATAGCAAATTTCTCTAAGCTCCTTCTCCACACGCTCTCTGTACTCGCGGGCGAGCTGTTGTTTTCTGGCGGATGCTTCGGTTTTTTGCTCAATGGAGGAAATAACACGCCACGATGACCTGTTGTTGTATAAATGTATGCACAGAAAAAGAAATGTACATAAGTATATGTAGAAACTCTATTTTTCCCCATTTGCAATTTACCTGCGCGCTCCAACCACATTTTTGTAGGCAACGGAGAGCAGATTTCTTTCCTCATTTGATAGCTCGACGCCCGTCTCTGTGACTGATTTCATGGCCTGGGCCATGTCATCGTAGCTACATACAAAAGTAAATCAAATTAATTATGTATCCCTTTGATCTGTGCGAATAAATTTATACACTTACCGTTCTGATTGCTCGGCCAATTTTGCCTTTTGGACCAGTTCTTCCTTATCGACTGTCGACATGTTTGTGGTTTTTTTTAGTTACTTGACCAAACTAAGAATATGAATAATTTGTATATGTATGTTCGTGTGTGTGTATTGGCCCACGCACGATCTCTGTTGCAATTGATAGACAGCAGAAAAATTAATTAAAGTAGGAGGAATCCACAGCTCAAAGCGTCGCTCACAATGTGTGAATGGTTATCTGCAATGGAAAGAAGGAACAAAATAAAGATATAAATATCTATATATATATATATATATTAATTGATTGTCACTGTAGTGCAATTGAATTTCCCACGCGGCACATTCACTTTATTAATTGGCAACCTGTTCAAACAGCCAACAGACAAAAGCGTCTTTACTGTATGTATGTATATATACAAGTACACTTTCTTATATTGTGAGGCACCACCCACATCTAATTGAAAGCTACGATTAATTCATTTATTTCTCTCGCCAACTTTCGACACGAATATCCTTTAATTAACACCCACACTCACACACACACACATACAGCTGCAAACCCGAATAATTATCTGTCGTGCCGCTGTTGCTGTGTGTTGCTCTTTCGACCAGGCCCGAAACTCGACTAAAACGAGAACTTGTCTCTGTCTCTGGCTAAAAACGTTGAGCTGAGGTGCGAAGGAGCAAGGATTGCCGCCGGTAGCAGAGCTCGTCGCATGCGAATAGCAGCTGCGCGTTGCAAACTTCGGCTGATATTGAGATATGCTGGCGGTGTCAATGGGCGGGCAACAGGATATTAAAGGACATTGTATCGTGCTCATCAATATATACATATACATATATACATGAGACATTCAAAACTGGTTTTGCAACATGTATACATACATATATACATTTATGTATATGTAACTGTATTATAACGAATTCAATTTGCAATTAGCAGCAAACGAGTCGAGTTTTAGCATCTCTGCTTCACATGCTGCAATTAGCATTAATACAGAACTGAATCATCGAGTAGCTCGCCATATCAGTATTTCATTTCATTTCATCGACTTTGAATATAAAGTGTTGGGAAAATAAAGTACAGGGTCGAGCAGTTACTTAAACTCGCAATGATGATAACTAATAATAAAATAAAACAAAAGGTTTGCCTCGTCTTAATGTCAATAAATTGCGTTTTATGTTAAACAGCTGTGAGTCAGTCACTTCACATGCTAACATTTAACTTCTATCATATATATACATATGTATGTATGTAACTACGTATATGCACATGCTCTCTACAAAGCATATTACAATGCAAACGGGGGTAACCTGTTGCCTTTTAGCCAACGGCTGAGTGCTTCCCTCGACAACATGACTGAATTTGCAGGTATTACATAAATATTGATTGATTATTATTTATAAATAAACGCAAGGTGAGGCTGATTGATACATTTTCCATTATCCTTGGGGACAAACATAGAAACATAATAATAACGACAAAATTATTATCCCCCAAGGCAGCCTTGTTAGTCCGTTGCGCATAAGGACCCATTGCCCGTTATAATGTGCTTTTGACAGGTAACAAAGAAGATGGGTGAGTGTGCGTGTGGTATTTGAGTTTTGCTTGCGTGTGGGCGTGCTCCAAATTATGTTTGCACATTGTTAATACAAATTTGTGCTTGTGATTTACTCTGCTGCTTGCCAATGCTATAAGACATGACATTCGACTTCTTTGGGGCGCCCCAACTAACAGATGCACATTGGATACGTGAAAAATAGACATGGGAATGGGAATGGAAATGTTAAAAAAGCTGAAAAAAAAATCAACAGCAGCAACAACCGACACGACAAGCGAATGGAATGAACGAAACAAAAAACAACAATGAAAAATAAACCAACATACATGCACAGAGAGAAAAGTTATAAATAAACTATGAATAAAATTGAAAATGAAATAAAAGAGAGAAATCTGTGGCTTGGGTGTGTGAGTCTGCAAGAGCGTGTATGTGTGTGTGTGTGTGTGTGTGTGCTAGTGTGTATATATGTATCTTTGTAGTACGTGAGTAAGCATATGTATAAATATGTACTAACGTATTACTTGTGTGTATTCAGATGTCAAAGATGAATGCACAATAACCCCAAATGCAGAATGGTAACAAAACTTGGGCGAAAATGGTAAAAATGTTGAGTTAAGGTGATCATAAGGAATATATATGTATAAATATATGTACGTTTGTATGCTAAATATATATGCATAGTCACAATGACCCAACCACCCACTTGTTATCTATGTACATTTCTAAACGATCGCATCCGACCGTCAAATTGTAAAAACATTGAACCTTAGTCTGCACACAAGTGCAAGTAAATCCTCATAGAAACACACACACACATACAGATGATAGATGCTTGTAAGAATAGCAACTTTTGTGCGTTGCTCGTTTTTAGGTCAATTGCCATGTTTTCGTACAGTTATTGACAAAAAAAAAAAATAAATAAAAGAGATGAAAACACTAACGAAACAGAGCGCAACGGCGGAGTATTGAGTATAATTTTAATTTCTAAATTCCAACCAACTTTATTTGTGTATGCATGTATACACATGTATACGCACAGATATATGGGTGCGCATTTATAGCTACAATCAAATCAACCACTCCCTCCCGTTCCAATGGTGGAGCCAACAAAATCAGCTCTTAGCAATGAAGCGAATTGTATGCGTCATGGACTGCGTCATTTTTTGGGCATGCCTCACAATGAGGAAGTAGTGCGACTGCAAGTCTCAGCCACAAACTATTTTTCTTTATAGAGAAGTATGTGTATGCACACATGCATTCTTTCGCTTTTATGTGTAATTGTATATGTATGTATGTGGCATAAAAAAGAAAAAGAAGAAGAACCAGCTAATAGTTAGCGAAATGTCAGTGCGACAACGGCGACGGCATTGGCTTCGGTCACTGGTACAGATGGAAGATAACGGCGAATAAATTTGAAACCGTTTGTTAAGTTCTGCGATGACGGCAACTTTGACTGTTGCAAACGGCGCTATCCCATGCGAATACAGGCATGTGTATGTGTGTGCATGATACATGGTCGGTGCGAGCGTGTGAGTGTGCGAGAGTATTGAAAATACACCACACCGGGCGGCAAACTGTAAATTCACCACACCGGCCCCATGAGGTCGCAACGACAGAGATTCGGCTACACGGCATTACGGCTACATGCGCAGTACAGAGGGAAAAAATACGACTATAGAGAAATGCAGATAAGCAGAAAATTCCAATACACAGGGTTTTGAAAACTAGACATGAGTAATGGGAGCTTTCAATAGTTTTATTACAGCCCTGTCTCATTCACTTTTCTTCAATGTGATGTACAATTGAATGGTCTAAAAAGCAACAAATCAAATTACATACATATGTATGTATGTAAATGTATGTACATCATCCAATGAATTTACGCATACATACATACGTCTATGAGCGTACATCAGCTAACAAGAAACAAGTGTGTGGGCCTCACACTGAGGGGGAGGGTTGCGAAGAGCACGCAACAAAAAGTATAAAAATAATCCCACCGGAGAGCGAGAGAGCAACACAAAGAGAACATACACTTCCAAACGGCCAAAGGCAGCAGCGATAGCGAGAACAGTGCGGTATAAATGAACACGTAACCGCGTGTGTCGTCCACTTACATACACACAGATATATACATATATGTATGTACATTCATACTATTTGGATATACATATATTTATAAGTAATATATTTTTATATCTGTAGAAACATATATACATATGTGCATATGTATATGCATGTGGTGAATTTTTAAAGTCCAATAAAAATCCAGTTAACGTACGTGCATTTGTGCACAACTCTGTGAAAAATAGCCCAAATGAATTAATTTTACAAAATTTAGAAATTCATTTTTTTTACAAATCGAATACCGCCGCAGCACACTTTTAAATGTGCATATGCGTAATACATTCGGACTGGCTTACATATTCACACACACATGCACACAATCGTTCGCTCCGACGTTCGTATGCAAGTATTTTAGCTATTGACGACTAAAACGCCTAGCGACCAGAACACACTTAAGCACCACAATTCGCCTTCGCATTAGCCAAGTCAGTTGTTGCCACGGCCGCCAACAATCAACCAAAAGCACTGAAAATATACGAAGCTACGAAGCAAACGAATCTCACGTCTACATATACATATATATGTACAAATATACATATATACACACACACAGAGAGACACACTAATACAAAATATACCAATACTAATGCACAGCAGGCATTTGTACATACACATGTACGTAGTTTTGCACAAATTCACAGTTCTGAATATTTTCGTCTTTTTGCGTAGTATTTTTATCGATCGTTCCATAGAAGCATGTAGAAAATTTTTTTTCATACATACATGCGGCGTTTGCACATGTCTCGGCGAATTGAAAAATGTATTCTAATGCATAAATGACCGAAATGCACATGTTTATTGCCTTAACTCGCTTATGGTTTTATAATTAATATATACATATGTGGGTACATATATGTACATATTTCGCCCCATATTACTAATGCAAATTGGTTGGTTACCTTACATTCGATTCACTCGAAACGACAACGACGACTACCAACGAACGGCGAACGACTAAAAGTGATGGCAAATGTTGCACACAGTAAGCGCTGTATCTGTGTATACGCCTATTTGGTATACATGCATGTGTTGGTAGATTTCACACACTCATAAACGCATACATAGGCGGCAGCGCATGCCGCTACAGCAATTGAGAGAGCGCAGAGGAAAAAGAGAGAAAGAGAACAAAGAGAATAGTAGGTAAAAATAAGTGTTGCCAAACTGGCTACAAAAAACTGAGTTGCCAGGTGTAAAACAAGTGAACTGGATTCGTTGAGTTTTAAATGACCTGTTGTCATGCCTAATCCATAAATTCGAATTCAAAGAAGCCTGCTGATTAACTTTGGTTATTACAGCTAAGCAAATTAGTTCTTAATTATACACATGACGCATTGCAGCTTTTTCGTTAAGTGCAATAAGCATAAACAAATTTGTTGGCCATTACAAGCTGCAGTTTTGTACATTGTATGACGCATGCCACAATAATGTTGGGGAGGAGCTTGACCAGCGAATGCTGCTACTGCTGCTGCCGCTACTGTTGCTGTCGTCAATTGTGCGCAATTGTCGTTTAATTGAGTAATTTGAATGAGACGAACGTCCGTATGTTAAATTTTTAAATTCGAGTGTTACGCGAGTTGTATTTGCGGCCTTGTACGTGTCTCTTTGTGCGTTGTAAAATTGACCAGCAATACTAACTATTCTAAAAAATCTAATTAAAATGAAAATCCATTGTACGTTGCGCCTTTGATTAAGCCCTTGAATTGCGCTTAACGCACAAACCTATTTTTGTACCTGTTAAAACCTTCTAGCGCTTATCTCTGCCACACTGATTAAATTTATTTTTTCAACTTCACGGGCTGTGACGACGCCTTATCAGCAATTATGTGCTTTTGATAAGCTTCAGTAAATTATTGCCTTAATTCTAATGTTGATTTTCATTGAATTGCGCTAAGTATATCCGAGTCGAGGCAGACACCGCACTACCAACAAACGCTTTTTGAAATTTAACTGATTAAAAAAAATTCGTGTTGTTGGCAATGCTGCGTCGCTTGACTCGTCTATTCACAAAATTACGTCATCAGCGTCCTACTTGAAGCAGTAACTTTATCCAGACGCATTTACAAATGTATTTTCTTCGATCTTACAAAGTTAATATCTGATATGGGGGTTCTTATATTTTTTACAATATGTAAAATTTTGAATCAATTCATTTAGCGTATTAAATCGATACATGTGAAAAATGCGGTCTCTCAATCTCTCGCCGACAACATGGCGCTCCAAGTAACACAATTGTGTTAAGTCGAAATATGTTACTCACTGCGCCCTTAAAACAAACATAAGTTTAGAATTTTTAGAGATAACACAATAACACAGTTTAACACAATTTTTAAAATTAATTATATTTTCTAAGAATTTTTAATAAAATTACTACGTAAACACACCTTTCGTCGGCTATTGCTGCAGTGTGACCGGGCTATACAAACGTAATAAAATTAGTTTACCACTAGTGTGGCTGAATTTTATTATTTAGACACGTTGGCAGCTCCATAATAAACGATATAAGGAGAATCGATATAACATTCACCGATACAGCATTCATCGTAGCGGTCGCACGTGTTTACTTCGGTGTTTAAACTTGGAGAGGACTGAAGCCGAAATATACATATATAAGTCAAAATGCCGCGCTCCAAACGTGATAAGAAAGGTAAGGGTTACATCTGGTATTCCCGACAGAATGTGATACATTAATTTTCTATTGATTTTACTTGCAGTTTCCTTGACCAAAACCGATCGCAAGGGTCTCGCATGGAAGCAACGCATCATCGACGACATCCGATTTTGTGTGGAGAAGTATCCAAATATATTTGTGTTCCAGGTGCAGAATATGCGCAACAATTTGCTGAAGGATCTACGGCAAGAATGGAAACAAAATTCCCGTTTCATTTTTGGCAAAAACCGCATAATGCAAATCGGATTGGGTCGCACAAAGGCCGAGGAAGTTGAGAAAGGAATACATAAGGTACAATATTTTATACGGATTACAAAATAAATGCTTTAATAAACATCTCTTGCAGCTTTCAAAACGCCTGACTGGTCAGGTTGGTCTGTTATTCACAGAGAAGAGCAAAGAAGACGTATTAAAGTGGGCAGAGAAATATTGGGCTGTGGAATATGCTCGCAGCGGATTCACGGCAACGGAGACCGTGACCCTGCCAGCTGGACCTCTGGAGGAGTTTGCGCACTCAATGGAGCCTCATTTGCGATCACTGGGTTTGCCCACTAAACTGGAGAAGGGCATTGTGACTATATACAGCGATTATACGGTTTGTGAAAAGGGCAAAGTGCTGACTCCGGAGCAAGCGCGAATCCTAAAACTGCTGGGCAAGCCCATGGCCAAGTTTCGCTTGACCATGAAGTGTTCATGGACTAAGGCTGACGGCTTCCAATTGCACGTTAAAGATGATGAGCAGGACCAGAATAAAGAAACAGATACCCCAATGGAAGAGGATGAGGATGAAGAGGAGGATGACGATAATGCAGATGATGATATTGATGAAGAGTAAATAGCTAAGATTTCAATTAGAAATTAAGTTTTATGAATATGTATATAATAATTATATATATAGCTATTACAATTCCATTGTTCCTTACTTAGGCGGATGAGAGATTGCCGCTGCCGCTGCCCGCGCTCTTCTTGGTGGTGCGATAAGCAATTACATAGCGCTGCGCCACAGGCAACGGCTCTGCGTAGCCATTCAAATAAGATGAGTCCTCGAAAAGCACTTCGTAATCTTCCGTTGCAGTTTGCGGCAGACGATGCACAATGGCCTTGTAGAAGCATGTTGTTTGAGGATACAGAGCCATGACTAGAGATTTGAAGATGGATTATTTGGCATTAGTTAAAGTTTTTTAAAGGGAATCGTGCGACTACGCACCGACGGTATCCTTGGGAAAAAGCGCATGCCCGTCTGTCTCTGGATTGGCACGCATTAATGGCAATGGAATAACTTTGCGTTTGCTCAGCACATGTCGATCTTTCTGCTCTTCGTCTATGTCAATGACATCGTATTTGTTTTGACGGTGTAGAAACTGCACCACCTCAGCCAGGATCCAGTTCTCCTCTTCGTCGATGCCCTTGGCCAGCGCAGCCACATTGTCACCCACCTTGGCCACATAGTTGCTCTCCGCAGGTATTGCTCCACACAAAGGCGGTGCGCGCTCGCCCGGCTTGCCAACAAACAGAGGCAATGTCTGAGCTGAGAGCTGCACCATTTTCATGAGAGCACCTCGACGAATTGCTTCCTTGTTGCCGGCATTGCGAGCCTGTGAATATGTAAATGTATTAAAATTGTGTATTATATATTTTTCTAGCTATTCCTTTACCTGAATTCGTCGTTCATTTCGTATATTTCGTATTTCATGTATTTTGGCGAGGGCCGCTCGAATTGTTGCCTCCTCTTGATTTGCCTCTGCAATTTTTGACTGCAGCAGCGTCTTTAATTTCGGATTTGGATTTTGCTGTGCACGCACAAGGCTGGCTATGGAATTTTCTGCACGGCGTCTTTCACTATCCACTTTGTGAATAAGTTGTTGGATGTCTTTCAGGCGATCCTATGAATAAAACAATATATGTATATATAGATGAATTTAGTGCTTTCAGGATGTGATAAACAGTTTATGTTCTAATTACTAACCTGTATTTGTTGTGCAGCACTCTCTGCAGTAAGTGGCATTTTAATTATTTCTCTGTTTTATTATTTGTTTATATTATTTCTATACCTACACCAAGTAATGCATTTTTTGTTTTGAGTATGCTAGAATGACAGGTCAGCCCTTTTGTTGGTATTTTCATGTATGAAGATATATACAAATATACTAAATAATGCAGAAAACAGTAAAAGAAATAATACATTTCTATATAAATTCGGCTCGGTCGCTACTTATAATTAATTGTAGATACTTGTTTTAATATAGCGAACAAATAAAAGAGATAACTTAACTAGCAAAATACCAGATTTATATTAATATACCGAAAATAGATAATTAAAATGCCATCGACTTTTCGATAAGTGGATAAGACTTTTATCGGTTGACTACCGCACTTTACGGTGAAAGCTGGGGAAAGTCATTTTCAAACTTAATGTAAGAATATTATTTACAATAGTGTTAAAGCATAATGTTTACGGCAACGTGTGTCGCTCCTGTTAATATGGCCCTAGTTAAATACTGGGGCAAACGAAACGAGGAACTAATACTACCAATCAATGACTCCGTCAGCATGACTTTAGATGCTAACGAGATGTGTGCGAAAACCACAATTAGCGCATCGGAGAGCTTTAAACAAAATCGAATGTGGTTGAATGGCGATGTAGTGCCATTCGAGGAGAATGCCCGACTGATGCGTTGCGTGGAAGGCATACATCGTCTAGCCCTGGCCAATGGTGCCCACAAATTCCCATTGTCGTGGAAGGTGCACATTGCATCGTACAATAATTTCCCCACTGCCGCTGGTCTGGCATCGAGTGCCGCGGGCTATGCGTGTCTCGTCTATACGCTGGCACGTCTTTACGATTTGCCCCTGAACGAGGAGCTAACTACAATCGCTCGCCAGGGCAGCGGCTCGGCGTGTCGCAGTTTATACGGCGGCTTCGTGCACTGGCAACGCGGCTCATCCGCTGACGGCAGCGACTCAATTGCCGTGCAGCTGGCGCCCGCCGAGCACTGGCCCAATATGCATATGCTGATCCTAGTCGTGAACGATGCACGGAAGAAGACCGGCTCGACTAAAGGCATGCAACTGGGCGTTCAGACATCCGCATTGATACAGCATCGTGCCAAAGAGGTTGTGCCCCAGCGTGTCAAGGATCTGGTAGCGGCAATTGATGCACGTGACTTTGAGTCTTTCGCCGAGATCACCATGAAGGAGTCGAATCAATTGCATGCCATCTGCCTGGACACCTATCCGCCGTGTGTCTACATGAACGATGTGTCGCATGCAATCGCGAATTTCGTGCATGATTATAATGAGACAGTGGGCTCCGTGCAAGCTGCATACACCTTCGATGCGGGCCCAAATGCCTGCCTTTATGTGCTGGCCGAGAACGTGCCGCGTCTGTTGGCTGCCATTCAACTGGCTTTTCCCAATGATGCTTCGCAAAGCGTTGAGTATCTCAAAGGGATACCAGTGCCGCCAGTTGAGGTGAAAAACGGTCTTCGGGATGTCTCCATTGGGCATGTGAATGCCAAGAATATGCTCAAATATATAATCCATACGAAAATAGGCGAAGGTCCTAAGCAGCTAAGTGACGAGAAGAGCCTGCTAATCGATGGCTATCCGCTGACCAAATAGTCTAGGCTTTATCGGCTCCATAAATCTCAAGATTCCGGGCACAAATTAGTTAATTTAATTAAATGTGTTAATATCTAGACGAATTCTAGCTAGGTCTCGGGGAACTTTTCAGGTAACTGAAGATATACAGCACTTATTTATCTTTCTATCATTGTTTTTATTGTTGGTTTTTTATATAAATTTATTCATTATTGTTTCATTTATAAATATTATACTTTTTTCTTTAGCTCAACTTTTTGTTTGAAGATGCATAATTTAGATACACTTATTTGCTTATTTATCTAAATTGTATGATTTCTTTTCTTTAAAAATACTTTGCATAAATAAATAAACATTGCTTCACTGTGCATGCAAATTAGAGATGGGAGCGTGATTAACTCCTCTATGTGCCTTAAAACAGTCTCGAATAGAAACGTGACAAAGAAAGAAAACAAAACAATAACAAATGGCAAAAGGTGACAATAAACGTCTTTCGAATTTTAAGCAAACTAAACATAGAAACAAATAACAAAGACATACAAATCACAATTAGAATTTTGTATGCTAGGCCAAATGTAATCAAACTAGAGTTTATACAAGGAATTCATAACAAAATATATTTATATGTAAAAATATGAAAATAAATGTTTTTTATTATAAAACTGAGTTAAAAAAGTTCATTTTATTCTATGCTGAGCACCGACTTCCGATTGCCTGCTAAAAAACCATAAATCTATCAGAGTGAATACCCGAAGTTTATAATCAATAAAAACATTCCACAGATTTCAGTTAATTTAGAGAGTATATATATATATATAAATATATATATGTATGTATATTTATTTTTTTCTTTCTTCTTACAAACAATATATATAGAATACTTGTTCATCTTATAAATAAACATGGGGGTAACCATATGTACATCTAGAACTAAATAAAAAAGTACTTTTCAAAAGCAATAAAATAGAGTTGCAGCAAATAAGGCATTGCACGTTAGTATAATTAGAGTTTAAGCACAAGTTAAATGGTCTATATATGTATTTATATAAAAATAGGCACTCCAAGTTAAGTGTTTTCCATTAATCAGCCGGTAGACTCACTGCAGTCCGTCAAATGGTCGATTGTTTCGATTACGACATGATTGCTTGGAAGTGTATCTAGGTCGAAGGTATTCGATGATGCATTAAGTAAAAGTTCTAAAGAAATCTCTTGTTCCAAGGGCACTGTCGACAGCAGAACGACACCGCTTTCCGCATCCACAGCCGTTTCGATGGCATCCTCAATCCCCTGATCTTGTTGCTCATCTACCTCCTCCGGCTCGGCTTCTGTATCATTGTCGTCCGATATTAAACTTGACATAAACTGCTGCACAGTCTCCTCGGTATTATCCTTATGTTATTTGCCCGCTAGCAAGCCGTCGCATCCCGCCTCCACATGCTCCATGACCTGTTGCTTCAGCTGGGCCACGTGATCCTTCAGGGTTTTCACAATACCCGCTAGGTCCGCGTTCTCACCCTTAAGCATTTTCACACGATCCTCCAGCTTTGAGATGCGCTCCAGCTTACGTTTGCGACACTTCGAAGCTGCCACGCGATTCCGTTGACGTTTGCGCTCCAATTTAATCTTTTCTTGGTCTGCCATATCGATAGGGCTGACTGTCGGGGAAGCCACGGCGTTCTGTGGCTCGTCCTTAATGACGGGAAAGCCATCTATGATTAAGAAATATTGATTAGACTCTGCTAGATTCCGTAATATACAACTAATAGTACTCACCCACGCTGGTGTACGTAAACCCTCCACTGATGCCATTATTCACGGCTGTCATCGTGGCGGGGGCAACAGGAGCTGGATTGCTAGCAGCTGTTGGAGCGTTGGTATTGTTGCCCAGAAACGCCTGCGAGTTTTTGCTGGTATGAAGATTCTGAAGGGCTTCTTCGAAACCCTTACCAAAGGCCTCTTGTTCCGAGGTGATGGGGCCCACCTTCGTGGGGAATACTGTGCCCGGCTGTGGCGTTTGCAACAATCCCCCAGAGAGTAATATTTTTTCAAGGTCAGGCGTGTTGAGTGTTTTTAAAGGTACATCGGGTGAGTCTATGAGCAGAGGTGCCATGGCGCGCTTATTCTTCTTGTTGAGGTCCAGGAAGGCAGGACGCTTGCTGACGTTGGGAGTTGAAGCGCTATTGGGCGTTTGAAATTCCATTGAATCCTCGGTGCCAATTGGATCTGGTTCCGTTTTAGGTACTATCGGTGCGGCGGTCGCGTTACTACTATTTGCATTGCTGGCGAGCGCAGCAGCGGAAGCGGCAGAAATTTTCATTTTTTTTTTCCTTTGAATATGACGTCAGACTGATTACAAAAAACGAAAGAGGAAAAAACAAAGCAAATAGTAGTGGGTCGCTGTTGTGATAACTTGTTTTAGATGATGACTCATCGCTCCCCTTACCAACCCGCCCGTATTATACGCTTATAATGGCAAGTACAAAAGTCGTGTATGACGGTCAAGTGGCTTGACCTTGCTTACCAATTTCTAACACAGTGTATTTTTACCGGCAATGTTGTTTAATTTTTGCAACTAATATATGAATAAACTCGTACTTTTTAAAAAGAGTTTAAATTTTATAACAATTTAAACGTAAAGACAATTGCGTTGTAATTGGTTGGTTTTGCTATTCACAGTGAAATACTCCTGATATTGCCACATGTATATAAAATGGAAACCAGCTGTTTTCCCACAATATCGAGTGGAATTGTCGATATAAAGATGACTATCGATATTGTCGCTTCTTCTTCCTCTTCTTTTCCGCTGTGCTGTCAAAAACGTAGGTCGCAAGTAAACTAAATAACAATTTTAATTCTGCTCAAAAGTGTATTTTCTGATGCCATCGGCATCTCTTTCATTGAATAATGATGAAAATAATCTATAAATTGTGTTCTCTAATGAAAATTTGTTGCTTTCATGTTGTACCACTTATGGACTGGTCGCCGACTTCTGCCGCAAAAACAGTTTGATAATTCGCAATGGCCAAGTCCAAGAATCACACAAATCACAACCAGAACAAGAAGGCTCATCGCAATGGCATCAAGCGCCCCATGCGCAAACGCCACGAGTCCACCCTGGGCGTAAGTAGAAATCAGCAATATGATAGGATAGATTACCGTCCTCTGACATACTCCATATTCTGACATATTCCATATTGTTCCACAGATGGATGTCAAGTTCTTGATCAACCAGCGATATGCACGCAAGGGTAATCTTTCCCGCGAGGAGGCAGTCAAGCGTTACAAGGAGCGCATTGCTGCTCAGCAAGGCAAACCCAAGCCCGTTAAATTGTAAATTCCAGGCAGCATTCGATATTGTTTTGAGTGCAAATTGTGTCTTAGAATAAAGGAAAAATACTTTTAACGAGTGTACATATATCTTATTTATGATTCTGTATTCGTTTCGGTTAGTCAAGGGAAAGTGGTACTAGTTTCTTGTGTTGATTTATTATTGCTCTGCAAAGTAAATAAAACATTTGTTAAATTTGATAAAGCAATTTAAGTCAAATCGAATATGAATTACATTTTATATCCGATTGCGCTTTAAAGTGCAATTAAAATCAATAGAAACCAATTCCAATGTGTATTCAAATTATAAGAAAAACTGCCTTTCAAAGATACAAAATTTAAAAACTTAATTTTGCAATAATAGTTTACATTTCTTATATCGATAATTCTTCGCGCTTTAGTAATTGCGTTTGGCCATATTATGAACGTTTTGGCATTTGTCAATCTGGCAACATTCTTTTCGTACCAGACATAGCCAAGCAAACAATTCGGCGACTAGCCAATTGTATGAAAATTCGTAAGCGCGTTGCCCATTGTTTGTTGGGTAGCAAACGGCAGCGAACGTAGAACTGTTGTTCGGTCGCCATATATGTAACTTAATTTAATAATAGTACAATTTATAATAGAGTGTGAATATATTGTTTCATAATTCTATTTAATATACAGTTCGCTAATTATGTAAACAGTGAAGAACTACTGCTTAAATTCAAATGCAAATAGTGAAAGAATCATTTTTCGCGCAGTGTGCTGCTGCGAATGCTTGGTGCTCATCTATATGTACGTGAATATGTACATATATATTTTTTATTGTGTGTTCGTGACAGTTTATTTCAATTATTTATAACCGACATATTCAATTTTAACTGTTAAAGTGCTGATGTTATTGAAACTAGTGTAAGAGCCAATGCAGGCGTAATTGTAATCAGTTTTTATCGACGTTTCATTGTCGGGCATACAAACTCGCATACAGCGACACACGTGCGTGTATACATACAGACAAAACTACATATATACATACAAGTACAGACACACATACACACAGGGCAGCGCTCAGCTGTGCTCAGCTGTCGTTTGTTGTCAATGTGTCTGATCCTGCCAGAGTGTTTTGTTTTTGCGCGGCAAATTTGTATAACTGGCTATCGTTCCTATAATAACAATAACAATAACAACAACAATTGATTGATTTAACCGGTGAGTGTCATTGATATAGATATATCGGTAGATACATATACATAAATCAACTTCTGTTCTTACAGTATTGATGAAAACAATCCAAATTTGAGCTAATTTCAAATTTGTTATTTAATTTGATTCAGTAATGCTTAGTAAGACATTAAATCCAAACAGCAATCCATAGCAAATATTCCACAGGCACGGTTAGTCTATTTTCCATGACTTTTGTAGAATTTCGCATTAACTAAAGAGGTGCTAATTAATTTAATAATAATGTCATTTGTGTGACCAATCAATTTTAATATTCTCTGTAGAGCCAAGTTAACAAAATTTCACAATATATTTATTTTTAAATGCCAAGTACAGTAGTGCAAAGTCATAAAACGATATGTAGGAATGTGAAAATATGAAATGTATTCATTCTTATTTTATATTTTAAGCAAACAAAAAGAAAACTTGCTTTCTTTATTTTACGTTTTAAATAATTCCATTTACCCTTGATTTATTTCTGTCATACGAATGTTCTCTTTTCTTTTCTGCTCAACTTGGTATTTGCCAGTCATTTGTGGCTAACGAGCATTTAATAGGCGGAATTGAAAATGAATTACTTCCCATTGGAGGTGTGGGGCACCCCACAAAGTCCACAGAGTATACCTTTGTCGTCATTCGTCATAATTGAAATGAATACGTCTTAATGCCAGCGCACTCGAAACTAAGCGCACTTTATCTTTGTTTCTGTGCCAGTTTCTATTTGCCAACTGGGTTTATCTACAAACAAATGGGCCGATAAGAAAGCTAGTTGTGTAGATATATATACAGAAATACGACAATGTCTGTATGCACAGTTTATATATGTCACTCTGCTATTATCAATCTGCCGGCATTTCGTCTTGTCAACGGATTATTAAGATTGCAATTTCTTCATTTGATTAATTAGCCTTATATTTTAGCATATTTATATACATATGATTAAACTTAGGCATTGAAGGTAGCTTTATCGAAAATCTAAGTAAGCTTTAGCTGTTTTATTGATAAGTATGTGTGAGTATTTCCCCTATTATGGATTGTATACAAAATGTACGAAAATATTCATCGAAATGTATTTGTAAAGTATTAAATATATAAATAGTGCCCATACCAAATGAATGATGTATTTATAAGTATATTAATTTGTTCTCTTTTAAAATGTTAACTTAAACCACTTAACTTTTCAAACCACCCTTTTTGTGACTGCATACTCAAACTGATATTTAAATAGTTATTGGGAGTGCCATAAATCAGTTGTAAACAAAGCTTGAAAAGAATTTCCAGCTCATTTATTATTATGAGAATCGCCTAGCAGAGTTATGTCTGCTTTACAATTATAATCATATAAATAAATTGTTATTTTGTTGACATTACTTCTTATATGCGGCTCTACGCTGGAAGTTATGAAAGCTATTTAAGCAGTATATTTTGAGCTCTGCTAGCAAAATATCTAGTTATGCCAAATCAATTTATAGAGTATATTTGAGACTCTCGAAATACCTGTCTCTTAAATATCCGATCAGATTAATACGATCAATAACAGTACACAAATTGATGTTAATTTGTTAAAATTAATAAATCAAATCAACTGCAGATAAGCATTCAGCGAATACTTTGGCAGTTGCTTTCGAGCCTCTGAGAGTGTCAGAGATACATTAGATGTACGCGGCTTAGTGATATTGAAATATATTTCTAGTGATTAATCAAAATCTAAAATGATGGATAATCTGCCAGTTTATTCCATATCTCATTTCATGGAATCCCAAGCACTAAGCGAACCGGGAGTCACGTATAGTATGCAAGTAAGTTTTGCCGATGTCAGCTATCGAATTTTACGAATGACTCATCAGTAGCTCAAAAAAAGAAAACTTGTACTTGTTATTTGATGCATATTTTTATATATACCTATATATGAGCTCAGATCTATAGAAATCAAATGCTAAGCTAGGTCAGAGTTGTACATTTTTTTATATATCAGCAATAAAAAGATTTAAGGAACATTTAGCATTAACAATTGCAGAGTTTCCTTTAGACCACTTTGAGTTCAGATGCAATTGAAATACATACATATCTATAATATAGAAGATAGCGGATTGATATGATAATAAACAAAATACTTAATCAGTTCATGGTGGTCTTTTGTATAAGCAGGGGTATTTCATAGTCTGTTATTTTGATTGCTTAAGTCTATTCCTTGTGGGTTTCCCCGACGACTAGCTTTCAATAGTGATAACCGGAAAAGCTGAAAACAATGACTGTTTTCCTTCCACTGGCAGTCAACGTTTTCCACGTTTGTTGTAAGCAATACAATTCTGAAGTTTAATGAACTAAGTGTAATGATTGTCTATGATACTACATCATTGTTTCGACTTTGTTCGGTGTTGTTGTTTTTTGTCTCTGCTTTGGCTATTCTGGGAATTGTTGATAGACCGACGGCAGACAGGCACAAAATTTCACTCACAAATTGCTTGGCAAGTTGTATAAAAATAATTATATTTGTGCAGTTACATATATATACAGAATGTATATACAGGCGCATAAGAAAAGCATTATATATAAGTATACATATATAATTCTGTTAATAGGTATTGTTTCTCTTACTTAGAATTGCTGGGTTTGACATTACGACGTTTGTTTTTAATGCAGCAATAAAAAAACTTGAAGTAATTAATATTAATTTGTTCGTGATGGAGACTAAAAATGGGCAAAGGGTCTTACAGATTTTTGATTTAATATATATTATTTTGTATATTATGATATATTAATATATAAAAATAAAGGCAAGCTTAATAAATTCTATATGCAGGCCGAGTTCGTAGATTGTATTTTATTTATATTTAGTAGTACATAAGTCTAGCTACCTATATCTATTTAGCTAAATTTTATTTATATTTTTCTATACATGTAAAACAAGATCCAAGCTTGTTTCCTTACTATCTCTCCACATCTTTATTATAAACGCGCCCCAAAGTATGCTCTATGTTGTTCATTTCCATTTGAAGTAACGCAAGGCCGTTATAAAGTCTTCATTAACAGGTTGTTAAAAAGAACTGTCTAGATTTGTTAGTCTTACAGCTGTCTTCGTATGGC